AAGTATGACTACAACCTTGACAAGGTAGGTTTTTTTTTCGTGTTTGGTTTTGGTTTTGCATCATACTAACTAAAGACTAGGCTGCAGACCACCTGACTTCGAAGACTTGATGATGACACACACTCTTTTTCACTGCACATATCTCCTACATACTTTTTCCTTTTTCGCTCACGTCTCTCACTCCTTGATGAAAGTCCTGGACCTGATGATCAATCTCTCAGTGGCCTCCTTTGCATCGATGTTCCCCTCCGTTTGTCCAGCGCTGTGTCTATCGTTTCACTTTCTTTTCGTTCCTTTCCTTTCCTTTCCTCATGTTGCGACCACTTTGGTGTCCTTCGGAACCGGCTCCTGGCCCAAAGCTATTGGCCGGAACCACGGATTTTGGTGTGTCTTGTTTGTCGTTTGCCTGTGTAGTGTAGTTTACAATAATGCATAATTGTGTCAAATATATTTTGATTCGCTAAGCATTCGCTAGGCGTAGGTACAAACATGCAAATCTGTAGAGTACCGGGACCATTTGATGCAAATTACACTCACTGCTTTGATCGTCAATCCTCATCTGAAATGAAATATGTAATTCGGTATACTTGTGGACAAAGAAGCTACGACTATGATTTTGACAACCATTCGTGAGAATCAAGGTACCACGCTAAAGTAGTAGAAAATATGGAGTGAACATTCAGAGATTTTACTTCCGACACATCACGCAGCAGTGTAAAATCACAGATGCCCCTTAGACTGTTGTGAGCGAGAATGACCTGCAACCTATGCCTTTGCGTGCCGGGTCTCCTCAATATACGCAGAAAGATTTGGCCAGACTTCAAAGGCCTCCACAAGTTTAGTGAGAGCCGGGGGAAGAGTATCCTAAAGATGTGGTGAGCATAACCCCTACTCGAAATGGGCCCAAACAGCACTCACTGGAATGGTACCGGTTCTCATATCGTTGTCAATAGACTGGTAAACCGCGAAGTCGGCATAAGTGACCTTGTCACCCAGGAGATAAGGTCCATCGAAATCATACTTGGCGAGGAGATCATAGTAAGCGGGCACAGTCTCTTTCTTGTAGGACTCGCTCGCCCCATTCAGGTTAGCTACCCATTGAGACTATATGTTGCGTGAGTCAGATCTTCACATGCTAGAGAGGGGATTCGTTGGGTCACATACCCTCCAGTCAATGTAGATATTCGCCACCGCATCAACCAGGTATTTCTCCCAGTTGGTGTTATCATCGTATGCCTACTCGATAATCTCCCTTGGTATACGCCGGCGGAGGGCTTCACGGGTATCGCTATCACGGATCTTGACAATGATCTCTCGATCTTCATAGAGCTCAGCTAGCGAAACTCCAATCGAGGACGTGCCGTTGCTATTAGTTCTCGGAAGCGGAGGGGGGGGGGGGGACCGGAGCCGGTCCCTTACCCCCATTTCTAGAGCCGAGCCTAAAAGGCTACCGAGTCGTTCGAGCTGCTTATTTATGTAGGCGGCGTCGTCGCTGTCGCCTTAATCGCCGTCGTAGCTTTCTCGATGCTATCCAAACGCTGGCCGAGTCGGTCGAATGCCTATTGCACCTTTTCTATGACCTACGATTTCTCCCCCTTTGGGGAGTTTAGTGCGTATTATTCGACGGATTTAACAAAGTTGATAATATATAATGTTACGCACTGCCTAACTGGTCACAGTTATGTTAGAAGCTTTCCTGGTTATACTTGCCTGTGCTGGTCCTCCAACGTCAATGATCTGTCTCTCAACCGAGCTGTTGCTGCGCACAGTCTTATTCCAGCCTAAGTCCTTTTGAGGGTATCAGGGAACGATGCCAGGTAGAGCGCCGAGTGTCAGGGTGCGGGCTGGCAGGACGGTATGATAGGAGATGACTGGCAGGGACAGGTCGTAACAGATCAGATTCACATTGACAGGCAGGTACAGGCAGGGGCAGGCTAATATACAAGACGTAGCTCGAAGAGCTACAACAGGATCTAGAACTGAAGTTCAAGATAAACAGGTCGGAGATCACGTGTCGTGATCTTCCTTTTACTAAGCATTACGGTTCACACCGTGACA